AATATATGTAATCGTCCAAAAGGCTGAGCTGTGCAAGTGGCCTTATTATTCACACATAAACAAAAGTGCAATATTGGGTGTTATCAATTAGTGCCCAGATTCTTTGCAAGGGAGGGGGGACAGTTGGACCTCAGCTGGCAATTTACATTCTCAAACATCTTTATTCACAAGCTGTAAAAGCAAGCTGGTAACAGTCGCCAAAGTGGTTGCCAAGACAACTTATCTCTGGATTTAGTATTACTGCTTCAGGAGGGAGGCCTATGAGGAATTTAATTAGCTAACTCCTCGTCCTCCTTAGCCAAAAAAGGATGGATTTTCTTTCAAGTTAAAGTTTCTGAGGAATAAGAGTCAATGGAATCAGGATAGACACACACTGAGATGGACTCAGATGCACCCTGAGCTGGGTAATTACAGCATCGGGTGTGGCTTATGTAACTTCTGCCTCGGTCGTTCATGAATGTGAATAAATATGGAGCCAGGGTGCATCAGATAAACATCATATGAATCAATAAGTAAACATCTTCTCGGATGCTGTATGAATGCAATTGTTTTCCTTCTTCCCTCTTCTCAAAAGTAAATGTGTGGTTTGCTAGGAACTTAATTTTAAAACAACGAAGAGTATTGAGGGAAAGATAACGCGTATGTAAAACTGGTGGAGATTTTAGAGTTGTTAGGACTATGCCTCACAATTGATTCTGAGACTCCAGGTAACCATGGCAATATTGGAAATGACACAAATTGCACAGCTTAAACTATTCCCAACAGAAGGGAATACGTTTCTCTTCTGTATTGTGAAGGAATGTGTTGTTATAAGTAGAGTTGGGTTTTTTTTGTTTAGGGAGGGCCTGAAACGCACATACAGTTTTTACTAATATTATAAAATTCTTGATATAAGTGTCGTACTTAAAACTTCATAGTCTTCACGTACTTTTATTTTTCTTCCAAACACCTATGAAGCTAAAAGAAATTACAGTACAAACTTGGTTAAGATTTTAATCACAGAGCCAGCAGGATGGCTCAGTGCTTGTCAAATAAACCTGCAAACTGAGTGCAACCACTGGCCCCAAGTAAATGGGGAAAGAGAGAAGTCATTCCACAAAGGTGTTCTTGAGCCTTCACATGCACCCTAAAGGACACACATGTACACATAGACACACCCTGATAATAATCAAGTAATTAAAAAACAAGATAAAAGAGTGTTAACTACGACTTCATTTGATTATGTCTCCATCTTCCATACACACTGCCCTCCTATTACTAACACTCCACCCAAAACTGAGAATTGCAAGATTCACCCTAAAAGTTAGCTTACTTGGGCACACTTTTTCTTGAGAATTGGTAATATTTCAGTAATTTCTCCACTTTGAATTTGTGAAATGCACTATGACTTATTTTATCCATGTGAAATATGTACATGCATATAGATAGAGAGGTAGATGACAGATGCATATATAGGGAGAGATATGTGATAGATATATGTGTAGGGAGAGGTAGATGATAGGTGGGTAGATAGATAGATAGATAGATAGATAGATAGATAGATAGATAGATAATATAATATGTGTCTGTATTTCTATGCTAAACATTTTGGAAATGGGCAGCCTTTGCCCTTATACAGCACGCTTACATTAATTGTTAAAATGAATAAAGGTAAGATGGTAAGCACTACTTATCCATTTGTAAGCATTAAGAAACTGTGGTTCTCAATCTGAGGAGATGTAAAAGCACTTCCTGGAAGGCTGGAGTTCAAATCTCCAGCACACATGTAAATTATCAGTTGTGGTTGCACATGCCTATGAGTTCAGCAGTGCAGAGTGGACACAGATAACCCTGGGAGCTTGCCAGTCCTGATCTTAGGAGCAAATAATCCTGTCTCTGTATTTAGACATGATTTTTTGTAGATATCTTGCAAGGTTCCCCCTTTATTCTAGTTTTCTAGGTTTTTATTTCTGTTAAAGGCTGCATTTCCCCCGACCTCTGTGCATTTTTCTCACATGTATGCACTGAGTAGAACTTAGCCCAGGACCAGAGATGGGGTATTCTGAAGTTCTAAGGGTCCTTTCTTGGCTCTTCTCTCTCTAATCTAGCACTTACTCCCAGAAACACTCACTGTTTGCCTTCCTTAAATTCTCAAGGCCATTTCTCCTATGTAAGAAGAGCACAAAGCTCAACATTTTGGTGGTATCCAATAACGCAATCTGCACGCTATGCCGGTTAAATTGTAGGGTTCATGTCATTTGCTCCTCATCCCTCGGGAACTGCTGTCTCTGATTACCCAATGTCAACCATTTTTTAAATCATTGTGTTGCATGGTTTGCCTAGTTTTTGATTGTTTTTGTGGGGATGCTTAATATAACCTTGGTCATTCCATGTGGCTTAGAAGCAGCAGTCTGTCCTACCTTGTTTTATTTGGGTTTAGGTTTTTTATTCGTGTGTGTGTGTGTGTGCGTGTGCGTGTGTGTGTGTGTTGTACATGAGTGTGTATCTTACACGAGTGTGTGGATGTGTGCACAGGATATTATATATCTCCTTCAGTGGTTCTCTGTCATTTACCTTGAAACAGAATCTCACACTAAACCAGAAGCCCTACATTCCATCTGTGCTGGCTGGCCTACCAGCTCCTAGGATCCTTCTGTCCCAGACTCTAAATGCTGGTGTTATAGGCATGCACAGCTTTTTATGTAGCTTCCTGGGATTCCAACTGAAATCCTCATGCTTACAGAGCAAGCCATCTTACTTTCCTAGCCATCTCCCCAGCTCTTCTCCTACACAATTCTTATGCAGCCACATTCTTAGGGCTTGGTATACATGTAAATTATGGTCTAGTCTGAAGACCACACACTTTAAAAACTCTGCACTATAATCATCCGTAATCCTGTTTTTGAAGTATGTGTTTCACCTTATGAAACCTGAAATCTATGGTCTAATCAGTGCATAACAAGCACCCAGTTTCCCTGATGTGCTACTCTCTGCTTCTCTATCTTATCTTCCACATGAATAAAAGTACCAGTGTCTGCTATAGCATGTTTGGGGAAGCCTAATTAATTCCATATACAGTTTAATGATGCTTCATTATCTCAACATTAATAACATGAAGTTTAAAAGAAATAGGGGTGTACTCAATAGAAACTGGATGCTTCTTGCCCCATTATAATATTGTATGCTTGTTCAGATAAGGAAGGATAATGAAGGCTCCATTTCAGGTGCTGGGTATGAAGATGCCCACGTTCTGATGTTGCTTGTACTTTGAGTGCTACTGGGTACCTTCACATCTCCCAGCTCAGGAAATGTGCCTCAACTAGATACTCATCTCCTCCATGATGTCTCCATGCAAACCCTGTCCCAATTTTAAATACTTCCACACCCTAATGCCTACTGTGCAGGCCACATAGCATGATTTAATCTTCATAGAGTAGTGAGAATTTGGATTTTTATGTATAACATCAGAACTTTTCATGTAGATATTCCCAGACAGTTCACTTCATAGGAATTAATGACTTGGTATATCCATTCATCTTCTTCAGTTACTCAAAAATACTCAGAAAAGTAGAATATATAATAACATTATATCATATGAATATGTAATTATGAATACATTTATGATTATACAACTTATATATGATGTGAACACGGATTTTTTTCCCTCTGGTATTCTGCCTGGGAATATCCGAGGAACAGATACTGAGTTATATTAGGTTTAATTAATATTAAACAGCATTGGGTTGGCAAGTCCTTATCTTCTCTGTTGCCAAATCTCTAATCTCATGAAAATCTAAATTGGGGACTTTGGGGGAGCTCTTTTCTGCTTCCTGACACTGCAGCTAATTCTGTAGGATTGTCCATCCACCCTTTAACAGCAACTAGAAACTTGGGGCAAACCACCCTTGACAGGGGCTAATCCCTCCCACACAAGCATTCATTTGTAAAGAAACTTTATCTTTATCCCTTTGTCCTTCAGCTTGTCCTCTAAATGATCCACGTACTTTTCAGCTTAATGCCCAAACAAACTGCTAGACTTTGATAGTTTAATATAGAACTCCATGCCATGTTTCATCTGGGGACTGAACAAGAGAAGAGAGCACTGTTTACATGGGTGACCAAAGTTTGGAATGTCTCGATGGTTCCAAAGGGGCTCTGGTAACATGCACTCAGCAGATAATGAATGCAGCTTTCCAAAACTGAGAGACATATGTATGTTATCTGAAAAGCATGCAGAATCACACATGCTATAACTCTCAAATTAGCAAGAGACAAATAGATAGCAGTAATCAGACTTACCCAGAGTAGTGAGAAGAAAATGCAAAAAGCTTCCTGAGTGTATAGAGTTTGATAAGATGCTACAAGACATTTTTAATAACTTCATAAGAGTTGCTGCAAACCATGGATCCAACAATGCCTGAAATCCATGACTATCATCTGAGGAGCTTTCAAAAGTCCTTATTCACAGGTCACATTGCAGACAAGATCTGAGTCTCAAATTGGACTCATCACCAAAACATTATAAAAGTACTTGGGGAGAGCGAGGGGGCTGGATGGCTCACTGGTTAAGAGTGCTGGTTGTTCCTCCAGAAGAGTGGAGTTCAGTTCCTAATACCCACATCAGGTGGCTCACACCATCTATAATGTTAGTTTCATGGAATCTGAGAACTCTTCTGCTCTTCTGGCTTCCTTGGGCACACACACACACACACACACACACACACACACCATGTAATTTTTTTAAAGTGTGAATAACAGCCCAATATGTATAAGACATTTCTTTATCCATCCATCAATCAATGGGCATTTGTTACTTCCACCTCCCAGCTATTGTGAATAATGGTGCAATAAACATGGAGATGCATATGCCCTTTCCAGGCTCTGCTTTGAATTTATTATGTATATACAAAGTATAATTTCTAGATAAGTTGGCAATTGTTTTTGATTTTCTGAGGATTCTTCATACCAGTTTCCATAGCATTACACCATTTTACATTTTAACCAGTGGTATATAGGTTTCTAAAATTATGCATTGCTTGAAATATTTACATGTCATGCTTGCACAGGGGACATGCTAATCTCCTCTGTGTATTTCCAATTTTAGTAAATGTGCTGCCAAAACAAGTACTAATTAAATAAATGGTGATGCAATTTTCAGAAATTGTTACTAACAAATCCCATGAGGGTGGCAGACAGAGTCTCCAAGATCTTCAAGATCTTTAAAATATGCATGTTTGAATAATTCATCTCATTTGAAAGGGAGTCATATTGATGGTCAAGGAAAAGGGACTAGCAGGCTCTACAATACTACCAGCATTCCTCCATGAACATGAAGAGTCTCGGATTCCATCCCAGACCCACTGTTTTTAAAGTCTGTTCGTGGAGCTCGGGAACTGTTAGGAAAGCTTTCCAGGGTTAACTTACACATGACCAAGTCTGAAACCTTTTCTGAGTTATGAACTGATGAGATTTAAAAAGTTTCTACTGAGTTTGGGGGAAGAACAGAGAGGGAGAACAAAGAAAGAGATACCTTGATAGAGGGAGCCATTAAGGGTTATCAAGAAATCTGGCCCTAGTGAAATTCTCCAGGAGTCCATAAGGATTACCCCCGCTAAAAATCTAAGCAATAATGGAGAGGGTATCTTAACTGCCCTTCCACTGTAATCAGATTGATGACTGCCTTAATTGTCATCATAGAACCTCCATCCAGTAACTGATGGAAGCAGATGCAGTGATCCATGGCTAATCACTGGGCCAAACTCATGGACTCCAGTCCTAGAATGAGGGGAGTGATAATATGAGCAAAGGGGTCAAGACCATGATGTGGAAAGCCACAGAAACAGCTGACCCAAGCAAGTGGGAGCTGACTGATTCTGGACTGACAGCTGGGGAACCTGCATAAGACCAAACTAGGCTATCTGAATGTGAGTGACAGTTGGGGGGCTTGGACAGATTTGGGGGCCAGGAAGGGGAATCAGTATTTATCTTAGTGCATAACCTGGTTTTTTGGAGTCAGTTCCCTGTGGAGGGATATGTTGCTCAGTCTAGACACAGGGTGGGTGTACCTTGGCCCTGCCTCAAACGATGTGACAGACTTTATTGTTTCTCCATAGGAAGCCTCATCCTCTCTGCGGAGTAAGTGGGGGTAGGGAGAAGGTGGGGGAGGGCTGGAGGGAGAGGGAACTGAGATTGGCATGGAAAGTTACATTGTTTTAAAAAATAAAAATTTTAAAAAAGTTTCCAAAACTCAGTCTTCTGTGTTACATTTTAATCAAACCCAGATGACAACAAATATATTTCTTCTTGCTTTTCTTTGCTTCTTTATTATATTATTATTATTATTATTATTATTATTATTATTATTATTATTATTTACATGATTTATTGGTTGGTTGATTGGTTGATGTTTTCCACTATGAAAATCTTCTTGTCCTAAGAATCAGTAAAATGAAGATGCAAAGCAGGTTTGGGGAGTGGTTGACCCTAAGAATTACAACTCTTAACATTGGTTTTCTATAAAATTAGAAGATGCAGAAGGATCAAGACAGCAAACATCTGCCTTAGTGGCCACCACCACTTCTCCAGAGCCCAAGGTTGATGTTCGATACCAAGACATGTTGAACAGTCTAGTCCTGATAGCTCCTAAATCTTTCTGCACACAGCTTTACCAGAAACTTAAAATTAGACCATTATTCTAAACCCATCTGCCGTGGTTTCCCAGGCTGTACATTATCCTCTATCTCTATCCTTCTCAAACACTACATTATCAACACTACCAATCCGCAGGATTCTTCAGTGTTACTAAGTAGTCTATGAACTTAGTTTTCTCTTCCACAAAATGTTACTGCTGTTACTCCTTGGTGGAGTGCTTGTGACACTTAAATTATCATAGTTTTTCAGCTAGATCAATGTAAGTCGCAGTGTTTTTTAAATGTCAGCAAGTCTTGGTTTTTGCATTCTTTTCTCTTCTGTGCATCTATTATCCTTATCACTTATCTGATCCTTGGTCAGGAAGCATAGCCAGCCCAGCTCAATGATGTCCTCAGTGATGCCAGTGCCCTTGACGTTATCTAGGGAATCTCATTTCTTAGCCTGAACTTCGGTTGTATTTCCCTCATCAGGCTGCACATTTGTTAACAGTAGCTGTTATATGAAAATGAAGGTTATTTTCTCATGTTGCTCAATTTATACTCACAGCAACAAAGCCCAAATCATCTCCCCCAGCTTAAACCAAACCCTGGGTGCATATGACCCACATACTAATGTTGACTTAAGGCACTAATGAAGAGGTCCATCTCCTTTGGAGATGGAAAGAAGTCAAGATGTATTACGGACTATGTTTATACAAAGGCTCCCTGGAAACTCTGCCACTGTTATCTCACTTATTCTGCACCAGATCACCCTGAAGCATACACAACTTTATTGTTTCTGACTTCCAGATGAGAAAACTAACACTAGAAGACACTGAAGTCAACAAAACCATAAGCTTGCAAGCATGGTCCCTTGTTTCACACACTGTAAAGATTTCCACACCAGGACTGGTGGCTCATACCTGCAGCCCCATTTACTAAAGAGACTGAGGTAGAAGACTCCAAGTTCAAGGCATGACTAGGCTATAAATGAAGTTCCGTTCAGCCTGCACAACATACTGGGGTTGTATCTCAGAAAGAAATATAAGAATAGGAATACAACTCAATGGTATCAGGCTTGGTTGACATGAATGAGGCTCTAGATCCACATCCTAATAATGAAAAGAAAAACGTGACATTGTACCAGATACAAGGTCCTCAAATGATGCACCCTTGATCTATGCCCAGATGTAAGCACACAAAGCCTGCCTTAGCTGTATCAGAAGTAACATCAAACTGGGCTATTCTTCTATTTCATCACATGTAAGAACCAACTTAACAAGAAGTGTGCCTTGGATGTGTGGTTTTAGGAAAGGATGCAGGTCAAAAGTAATGAGTGACCCCCTGGCCCACAACAGCTCAAGCAAGTCCCTGGGTTCTGTCTGAGGAGCTACCACCATAACCACTGTCACTACCCAGTGAAGGACACACCCACCGGTGCTGAGCCAGAGGGAACAGGTTCAGATCCTGCCTTGGAAACATTTCCCTGCACAATCTTCAACAAGCTATCCAATTTGCCTGAGTCTCTGGCACCTCCACCTACAGAGTGAGAGCAAACTTTTCTTCCTTATTCCATATATTCAATTGACACCTGGACAGGAGCATGGAAATTCATGCAGTAGCAAATGAGTTCCTGGGGATATAAATTATAAAGTTAACTGAAGCCGCAGGCTCTACTCCCCAAATCTCCCTACAATTTCTCACAGGCTGTGTATGTCTCCATTGATTGAAATAGATGCTGGGAGGTCTACAAAAGCAGAAAGTAAATCTAAACAGGTGAAATAATGGGATGGTGGAACTAACTAACTATATATATATATATATATATATATATATATATATATATATATGATACTTTAATGAAGACGCCATGAAGATTCACTGGATACTCAGCAGGTCTCAGGTCTCATTCACCAGTGTCATAATGCATCCTTAATATTAATAATGATGAATTTTGAGGACAGAGACTACTGAGAAGGAAAACCAGAGGCAAAGAATAAAGGAAGGCAGATGAATATCTTTGAGACTCTAACTACTATTGCAAGATGCCTTTCGTTGCTTTCTTTTCTTTCCTTTCATGAATTTTTGACACCACCCGGTACTGCTTTCTCAGCTTTGATCTAGGATATCTCTCATATTGAAAGGGGTTTTTTGTAAGGGCCATCCAGCGTCACTGGTATACAGCAACACACACTAGTCAGCAGTCCTCAGCTGCAGTAATGACTGAGGCACAGCCACCTCATTGATTTCAAAAGCAGGAATAGCAGGAGAGAGATGAGTCAATGGGTAAAGATGCTGCTCAAGTGTGGCAACCTAAAATTGGTCCCCAGAACTAACAGAAAGATGGACGGAGAAAAGTTGTCCTCTGTCCTGCAAGTAGGAGTTTTGGGAGATAGATAGATAGAGAGAGAGAGAGAGAGAGAGAGAGAGAGAGAGAGAGAGAACAAGTTTTTAAATGAATGTAAGGTATACTATTCCAGGATACAAGCTGTTCTTTCTTAATATAGCTCCCTATGGTCAAATGAGACAGGTAGTTTTGAGTCTAATGCCACAAACAAAATTCTAACTAACATAACTAACATCCTTACACATGAACACACATTAAAAGAGATTTGTTGGAGCCTCATCAACAGAACAGGTTGAGAAGATACAGCCACACCTTGTATCCAGAACCAGATATTTTCTAAGATAGGTCATAAAAAATGAGGCAGGCATAATTGTACTTTCTTTCACTCCAAAAAAAATGGTTCTTTTATTCTACTACTTCACAACAAAGAAAGAATAATAACTTTCTAAAAGAAGACAATGCTGGGCGGTAGTGGGCATGCCTTTAATCCCAGCACCTGGAAGGCAGAAGCAAGTGGATCTCTGTGAGTTCAAGAACATCCTAGTCTACAGAGTGAGTTCCATGACAGCCAGGGATATACAGAGAAACACTGTCTAGAAGAAGAAGAAGAAGAAGAAGAAGAAGAAGAAGAAGAAGAAGAAGAAGAAGAAGAAGAAGAAGAAGAAGAAGAAGCCAACAATCCACTACGTTGAGACAGCTACAGTCACTACAGTCACTTGCTCTGCCACAGATGCTGTTAAATGTAACCATGCCTTTCCATGCCTGTCTCCAGAGTATAGATTACATCTGCCTTCCTTCCTTCCACTTCTTCACCCTGCCCTTGAACAATATCCAGCATCTTACAATCTTAGATTGCCCGCTCTAATATCCAAGTCAATATCACTCTCCTTCTACCCTTTGATGATTTATCACTCATTTGGCAGATAATTATGGAGCAGCTTATGTTTGCTAAGAACTATTTTAAGTCTTGGAATAGAAACTCATTCCAGTCCTCATAGGACTTACATTCTAGTCCCAAGTGTCAGCTCATTCTCTGCCTTAGTTGTTGGCAGCTCAAAAGTGCACACTCTGTTTTGTCCGGATGGTTCCTCTCAAGTAACCTCCAACACCAAACAGCCTGACTTGGTATATTTTTTAAGGCCTAGGTTTCTT